GCAATGTAGATGGGGGAGGGGTGGAGGGGGTGGAGGGAAAACCCGAAGAGGCAACGCGTATAAGCGACAACGATGGGACAGAGGATCGACTCGTAGCTGTGTATTGTGATACGATCATCGAGGAAGGAGACTGTGTTCGTAGCAGTGGCCTGCGCTTAGGTGCTCTTAGGACCGCGGTGATTCAAGGACGAACGGGGAAAGCGTCTTGGCTTGAAGCTCCGTTTCTCGGATTGCGTTTCGTGCGGTTTCCGGCCGGATCGACGATACATGAGTTCGATGAAAATTCTTCGTAAACCACACCATTCACTTTTAGCCGCTTCTGTGCTGAATAATTTATTTCCTACGGTCTACCTCAGTGCAGGAAATGTTTTGAAAAAACAATTTTATTCGTTTTACAGAATTTTGGCAAGCATTCTATGAATATAATAATTTTTATCTTTTAAATTGAGATTCTGGAAGTCTGTCGCAAAAATGAAGAAATTTTTTTATTGATGATGCTTCAGTACCTACAGATATCGATGGGCGTACATACGCGCTCGTAGCATTGAAAGGGTTAAGGTAACTCAAAGTGAATTTGATTATGCTTGAATTAATTTTTTTACATAGTAAATATATTTTATCATTACGCAGCATTCGAATCAATTTAATGCGTAGATTAAAATCAGTCACAACACTGAAATTTTATTTGTATTGAATATAGTAGTATTATCTCTTAACACTTTATCTAACGAATGGTTATTAATCGGTTTACCAGTCACTTATGATCTTATCGAAAAGTAGTTTAATCGTTTCTTCTAAAAAATAGTTAGCAAAGAAGTGATTAAATTATATTACTCAACATGATTTGATAATCCAGTACCGTGATTCCTATTGCTATGGAAAGTTTGTTTAAGAAATCCTTGGACATTGATTATTAACTTCGATCAACACAACTGCGCTTCGATCTAATACTGAAAAATTTTGCAATAAAGCACCATTTAATTGCAGTAAGTCACTGGATAATATACAATGTTAGGAAGAACATATTTAATTCTAAGATTCATATATTTTGTAAATTAAAAGTACATCGGTGTAGGATCAAAAATGGCTCCGACACAGGCTTTCTAAGGCCGTACTCCGAGGGTACCACACGATGAGCCTAGCACGTCATTGTAGCGTAAGGGGTTAATCTTGAAAGAACCGTTCAGTAACTACTAGGAGGTAACGTGTTAAGATTTATGGCGGTCTCTGAAACTCCAGGTTGGCAGTTAAAGGTTAATTATGCGACCCACTTACTCATTTCATTCGCCAGCGAAGATCGGCCGTCAAGAAAAGACGGATTACCGTAGAAGAACAATTCGAGAAACGTCAGCACGCGATAAGGGACGCTTCGAGCGTTCGAAAGCGAGACGAGGCGTGCCTTCCGTATATTAATTGTTGGCAAATATCTGATCTATAAACAGGAACGGGGGAGATGTGCGGCCGGTATAGATTCGGGCAAGTGCCTCATTTAATGCGTGTTTCGTTTAAGATATTCGATTAGGAATGGAACGATGCTATGCGGCGAGTGATACGGAGAGAGAGAAACAGAAAAAGAGAGATAGAGAGAGAGCGAAAGAAAGGAAGATAGAAAAGGCAAGAAACTAAAAAAAGGTAGAATGCGTGAGAGAATGTGTGCGTGCGTGAGAGAGAGATTAATGTAAGACTTATGCCGAGTATTGTTTGTGCACTTATTGCCGTGCTGTGAGTATTGGTAAATAGCAAGAGAGAATTGCGGTGCCGAAGCACGTACGGTTAATTGTATTGTAATGAACCGTTATCGCGTTACGGTGTCCTCGAGGAGTATGTATTTTTGGCTGGGACGTGTTGAATCGATATAATACCTGTTTGCCGGTCGTCACGACCGTGGTGTAGAGGTTTTCTAATATGTAAATGAACGTTGCGTGGCAAATGAGTCGCTCGACTGCTATTATCAATGATTGTTCGAATAGAAACAAAAATGAAAAGGGAATAAATCCAAATTTAGCGTACGAAGCGAAATCAAGGCTAGAATAGAGGGTCTCAAAATTTGTTCAAGTTTTAATTATTGAAGCAAAGATAACATATGTATGTGTATATACATATATACTTGTTGAATGTATTATTTGCTGCAAGTATTCCGCGTGTGTGCGTATATACATATACATATGTTATATAGATATATTATATATGTATAGTTAAATTTGATTATTTTCAACGCTGCAGAAGCGTAACGCGCTCTAATAGAAACTCTCCCGGCCGACGGAAATATATTGCAAAGACCGGAGAGATTGATTACGTTCGCGAGTTTAATTAATCTCGGGGCACGGGCGTCCCGCGCGCGCGACAAAGTCTTGATAAATGCATTCACGCGATTCATTTCACGGTTATTCCTTTAAAGCTCGTACCGTATGTTAGCCGACACCGTAGCGAGAACTTGCTAGCGCGGGGAAAGGTAGTCGCCTCGAGAAGTATTCTCCGAAGAAGATTGGCTCGTGCGCGACGAATAGGAGGGTCTTAGCGCGTTCGGCTTTGACAATGGCGTAAATCGGTCTTACTAACGTATAATAGCGACCGCCGGTCGTGTTTCCTTTTCAGCTTAACCGCGGATAGAGTGCCTGCGAGAAATAGCGGCCGACGTTTGTCCTAGATATTACTCGGAGATGAGAGACTGGCCGAGTAACAATCATTCAAAACTGCACAGGTGCAAGAGAAATCTTCTACTCGCGATGCATGATTAACACATTGCACGTGGACGTCATCATCCACGCTTATGAACGCGTAGCAGTCAGATATGGTTATTGCATACCCTAAATCCAAACCAAACTCAGAGTACTGAGCTTACATTCAATGTTTATTTTACTCCGGACTGCGTTTAGTGTCTGCCGATAGCAAAGTGTTAAGTAACTACTGCGATAGTAACACTTTTGTTACGTTTCGTTGTTGTCATTGGCTGAGTAGCATGACAAGCGTGAACAAAACAAAATTCTATGAAAACGTAATGATGAAGAATGACATTGGCTTAAAGTTCTATATTCGTGGTTTCGTATGTTTATGGAATATTTAATGATCATCTCAACACCTCACGGATATGGAGACTCTACTCTATGTATTACTAGTCTTCTTTAATATTCCTCTTGCCTCTGAGCCATTTTAGATTGTTGGTAGTCGGTCAACTTCTCATCTCCATGTAGTACCGGGGATCGCGGAAAAAGAACAATGGCGGAAACCTGGGGTCCTATATGAATGTGACGCTGGTTATCAGTCGATTCGATATTCCGGCATTTGATTAATTATGCACCGTGTTATCCAAATTGTTTGGGCATTGATCTTTCGCCAACCTATTTCTCTGATCCCGCTGGTAGGAACAGTATGCATACACGGACACACGGGTGATGCAATATTCAATTGCTTTCGCTAAGGAGAATCAGCGCTAAATTCAGCCACGTGTTCGGAAAGTCGGAGTTCGGTTGATGACGTTATGTTTAGACTGTAGACTTTATGCGCGTGTATTTATGGCACGTGTATAGGGCGTTGATCGAACAAAGACGTGGTAAAAGTTGTTAATGCTTCTTTTGTCCTGGAGAAGTTAGCTTGTTGGTCAAGTCAATTTGCTCTTGATTCTGGGTTTTACGAAATAATGGTCCATTCATAAAACTAGTCCTCGAGAGGATTAATAGAAAGTTCGGCAGGATAAGGAAATTTATTTTCGATTTTAATGTCTGTACATTAATTTACGAATGTTTAGTAATGGTTGTTTATACATGAATTTTATACATTTATAAAAGTGGTGTATGAAATGAATAGTTTGCATCAATATCCGCAATCTAGTAACATTACTTGCAATTTAGTACCTAAGTAAGTACCTAAGTAAGTCAGAAGTATTACGCAATAATACTCATTCATAGTTTATTCAAATTAATTTCGTTTTATTAATGTAATCACTAGATTGCGGGTTTCATGCATTCATATCATTTCATGTTTTCTTGGAATAACAAGTTTCATGAAGTTGAAGAGGATATAAGACAAATAATCTCATTCGGAAACTTTAGATCTTGATGGACTAAGGAAACATCTCTTCGACTCCAAATTCTATAAATCAGTCAACGAAGACCTATCTCTGCACAAACATCGGAAGTCTAATAACAATTCAATGATTTCCAATGTAAACTACAAAAATGATTCGCGTGTTCTAATACAAATTCTCAATATTTACAAGAAAATATTCGCACAACCAGGTTTCAACTATATCAGTGTGATCAGAGAAACATAGCAATAGCGGCTGACCAAACAATTCAACACGCGCGCCAAAAAGAAAAGAACAATATGTTAATAGAATTACCTTCGATCTAAAAGAAAAAT